GGTTTATTTTTTTCTCATCCTACCCGTTTGTTCACACAGGCCAGTATCGTTCGTAGAGACTGACCATGGTCTGATGGCTCTCATTCACAATGAAGAGGGTTACTGGTGGGGCGTGTCTGTGCTTATCAGTGAAGCAGATCAGTCAATAGCAGAATCACAGAATACACTACAAACTCCAGCACCTGACAATGACTCACCAAGCCCACAAGTTGTGGAGTGTATGTCAAATGCCCGACTGCGAAGATTCCTTACGGAAGGACGGGATATGTTCAGGTAAACGAATATTTCGTTTTTGTCTAAGAGAGTTTGTCTGGTGATTGTACTTCTGAGAAGTTGGCAATACGCCGGTGCATACACCCATGTGCTTTGCTAAGTATGCTTACAATGGAAATCGTATGAAGTGGTCTAGTTGCACTTCGCACCAGTAAATCAAAAACTTTGAGATACGGAACCTACCATTACCTCGATCCGTATCAATGGGACGATCTAATAAAACGCTTTGTTCTTCTGATCGCCAATTTTGATCTCACCGATACCCAAATCTCAGACTATTGCACGGGAATATGGATGATCTGTGTGCGAGGGATGGGTTGCCTGGCTTGCGAGCGGTGCTTAAGTCTTTTTATCTTACGTATGTACGAAACAACGCGCTTGATGACACTTCTGGCACCAAGTGCTTTGGTGGCGTAGAGGTGCGTACGTGATGCATCATATCTTATTGCTATTCTTCGTTCTAATACGATTGTTATGCGTGATGACACATGGTTCTGACTGCGAGCATGTTTGCACGAGCGTCCTTGGTGCTGGTAGTTATTAGACGACAATCAGAACAGGATAGTTCACTCAAATACATCCTCACCACTCCGTGTTGACAGATTTTAAGCCTACCTTCATGGCTGCATATGGACTGTATCACAATGGGCAGCGAGATCGAGGCAGAGTTTCCGGATGTGTACGGCTTGATGATCATGTCTGAGGTGTGTCGGCTTTGAAGATTCAGGCTGCTACATATTCTCCATTACAATCTTTGGCATGCATAAATATACCACATTTATATGGTCTAACTTGCGACAATTGCTAGAAGAAAGCAAGTGCGTAAGTTGTAGACCTTCCGTAGCGTGATATTAAGTTACCATCAGTATTTTCGCAATTGGATCGGACTGAGACATCGACAAGCTTTCTAGATACACCCCAAAGTCTGATACATCCCCTGATTTTTCTTATTCCGCTCGTTTTCATCCTAAAGCTGTGAAGTGACAACGCTCGGCTGTAAATATCAACAAAATCTGTAGCTGATTTTTTCTTTTGTTCATATTTTTCTCACCCGTAGAACACGCTACTGGAAACCAGTCTCCCCGCTGAAGTCACAGCATTGATTTACGATCTCCTCACATCAAATCAAGTAGGCATGCCGGTGACAACCGCAAATGACAACTCGCGCACCTGGCGCTATATACTAGGCACGCGATAACAGGTTTCCAAATCATAGTCTTGTACTCTATTATTTCAGCTCCTTTTCCCTCCCATATATTTTGAATATTCGAAAATTTTCCTAGTTATCTTATCATCGATATGAGAGGTTTATTTCATTTTTTTGAATAGGTTGTGGACATGGCTGTGATTATTTCGGATTCACATGTGGTTTGAAATGCCTATTTTAATCTTTACAACTTTGTAACAGGGCCTTCGGATCTCATATCGAGTGACGCTGCATTAAATCCGTTGAAATTGTACGTCAGTGCGGACGTTCGGGATGATAGTTACTGCGAAGAAGACATTAAAAACGCAGCAGAGGATTCCGATGTGCACAGCCGGCGTGCAAGTACGGATGATATAGAGGTGTATCTTGTGGTACTGCAGAAAACCCATATACGGCTGGCGCTCTTGATACCGGAGGACCTTGCTTTTGAATACGATTTCTATATTCATTTGGCGGCAATTTCTGAGAAGTTTCTAGACGGTTTATCAGCCTATACCAGCAAAGGCTCTCTAGCACCTCCAAGCACGAATTCCAGCAGTCTGATGGCCGGAAAGGATTTACTGTACTATCAGGTATCTACTATTCATAGCCCATGAGTTTTTGATATTTGCACGTTTCATGTTAGAACTCGTGTATCCACTTCCTAGTTTGCGCACCAGTACGACTGTTTGTCTTATCGTACGACTGTACCTCTTACCCGTCAAGGAGCTATGTCGGCTTTATACAACATTTCTTTATTGGCCGGATCTATATACACAACAGGATACCATGCATGTGGAAAGCACGCTGCCTGATCTGCCTCCAACCACGCGCTCGGCAGCTAGACGTAGAGTGGCCGCTGGTTTAGTGAAGTCTCTGCGACTGTTCCAGGACTTGTTTGAGCTATTGCACGTTGATAAATGCAATTGTAAGTTGAGAATCATATTAAGTGAATAATATGTTGGCTCTTATTGAAAAAATTTAGCTTTTATTTGTTTTTAAATTCAAATGGCTTTACCTCACAGTACGAGTACATAAATATCGAGGCGTATATATGTTCTCAGCAGATGCAACATCAAGGTTAGAATGAATGTGAAGATATTTAATCACATGCGCTGATGGAAAGTGAAATATATACGAACCGAATCGCCTTCTAAATTATACACATTCACAGCAATTTTACAACTTGGTACGTGTATACATGTAGTGCCTTTTTTGCAAAACACATGATAATAAGTATCTACTTGTATTCATATATCATCCCTGTGGCTGTGTTCTTTATATTTCATTGTATCCAAGTGAACATGAAATCACATACACGTCAGTCTGCATCACAATCTGTACGTTGCATAGATGCACAGCATACAGCTACTTCATATTCTACATTCGCAGACACATTTCCATTGTGTATTAGTATGTGTATATGTATTGTTATGCGAATATATGTCAATGTAAATGTAGTTGTCATGTCATTATCATTTATTTGCATGCAAACCGACACACGCAAATGTACAATATGAATATATATATAACATGCAAATGTACTATATGAATATATATATAAATATATATATATATATTTTTATATATATGCATATATATATGTATATTATACATCTAAATTTATATAAATACGTATAAGGTATATAAATATATATACATACATGCATACATACATATATATGTGCGTAATATTTTTATATCGATATATATATATATATTTATGTATATATTCATATATATATATATATATACAAGTGTCCTGACTGTCTGCACTCTCGTTTATCTATCATTGTTGTTTTGATTGACTTATCTTAATTTGTCTGATTTTTTTGTTGAGAATCTCAATCACTGTTTGTTACAACATCCCTGGTTGCTTTAATCTACCTATACCACGTCAATTTGAATTGCAACAGCTGAAATTAATGAGATAATGATGATGGAGAATGAGCACTGGATGGTTGGGAGGGTAGATAATAATCGGATCTTCCTCATGAGTCCGAAAGAACGAGTGCAAACTTTAACCCAAGTATCTGCTGAAGTAGACGATTCGATACTCACACGAGACAAGCCGTGAAAGATGGTGAAATAAAATAGGTTTACCAGCAACTAGTCGCATGTCGTGCTTCCTTTTAAACGGTGCCTTTGTCTACAGAGGTGAGTCTCGACAGGTAGATTCAAAATCGTAGAAGGACACTGAAATATGCATCGAAACGAATAATTGAAAACCAAGTGAACAGTGTAAGGTCCACTACATATCTATTTTTTTAATGGTGTATTTGCGATCTTCACGAGTAGACGCAGAACAAACTCCGGTTGTTTTTAGTACTCGTACAGTCGATCGTCATAATATTCACTTCTCTAGTAGGCCCGATTCTTTGACCTGTTCCTTTCGGGTCTCCAAGTATAATTTAGAACACACACCTGTGCGGATCTAATAGCTGTAGAAAACTCCGTTCATATTTACCTCTCATGTGCAGTTTTGCGAGTGAAACTCGCCTGTTTGTGTGGTCTGCTTGGTCTTTGTATGACGGCTACATGAGCCACAACATTATAAGATTCATCTCTATAAGCACATATCTATCGCTCACAATGCTCGTCGATGCTTCCACTGGCTGGCACTCCACTGATGTCTAATGTGTGAAATTCGTGAGAATAGATCCCGCAGTCCGAGAACCCCGAATCTTTTCTTCCTTCAGGATAAAGTTTGTTCACTACAGCCTGTTTCGCTGCCATGTTCATGCTCGGAATATAGCAGTGGTCCTGTTCGTGTTGCTCCCATAGCCCCTGCTGCTGTTGATGTTGCTCCACGTCTAACCGCTGCTGTATTTCGCGTGCTTGCTGTCGCTTGAAGCGTGCTGCTTCCGTTTGCGCTTCACTGACGCTACTGACACTCTGTGCTTCCGTGGGCCTAGATCTGCAGGGATAAACGTCGGGGAACTCGACAGACTCGAACATTACGCCGCTCGTGGGCCACACTACGTTTTGTTGCTCATATGGGGTCAAGTTCTCAAAAGTCGTCATGTCGAATGTCGCAGCTGGGAAGTGGATGACAGGTAGTTATTTATGTGGTATAGTCGAAAATTTCGGCCCTCTAGTTATCTCGATCGTTGTATTATAAAATGCAATTTGACTTGCATCTGCTGCGTAGGTATAGATATCCGGCTGTATATATATAAATATTAAAATTATGGCTACGTACTTCCACTGCATAGATCAAAAAAATAGATATGCTACATACTACAATATATTTGATAAATCCAGAAGTCCGCGTTCGAACTTCGAACACTATGCGAGTAATGCGACTGTGCTGAACGGCGAACGCTGCGCCGTCGGCTTCAAAAAAAAACATGAGAAATTTTCACTTTCAATGGAAAGCAAAAGCTCTCGTGGCTTTCGGACATTTTTTAATCCTTTCTCCATTTCTATTGGTGCTTGGTAATGCCTAACATCGGCATTCATCGTCAACCGGTCTGAACCACAGGAGTCAGAAACCCTGATCCAACAAGTGGCGCCAGCTGCGCCACCCTGGCATATTTTGCTCGCTCATGATTTTTTTCTCCTAAATGGAACATGTTTTGTTTTAAAACAAAAATCAAATAACACAGTACATATATACTTATATAGTTATCTCGTGTAAAATTTGTAAATACGTATTTGAAGTTCTGAACAACAAGAGAGAAGTGGAGAGATCGAGATCGAGAGAGGATAACTTCTGAACCACAACATGAAGAGAGAGAAGTGGAGAAACGAGAGAGAGGAAAACTGAAGTAGGAAGTGGGCTTGTGTAGAGTTTAGAGTTTAGACTTCAGAGTTCAGAAGTTCAGAAATTCAAAGTTCAGAAATTCAAAGTTCAGACTTCAGAGTTCAGACTCTCAAGTTCAGAACGTCAGACTCACAGCTCACAATATTTACAAGAGGGTCTCAACTCTCAAGAGTCTCAATTAGGACTCTGAAGAGTCTCAGCGCCCCACTTCTCAAATTCTCAACTCTCTCTCACAGAAGAGATTGGGCAGACCGGCAGAGGTCAGGCTGGCCACTGGCCAGGCAGGCCGGCTCGCCATCCTGAGGGGCATGGTCATAGAAATGAACAGGACAAAAATGTGTATAATTTCATAACAAGTTAAAAAAAACAATAATTTAGGAGGCTATGTATGATGAAAAATGTATTTATTCTAGTGTATTCACATGTCGAATGGGAATACACCTACGGCAACGGATATACTCCATCGGATAATGTAAACACTAGCCTCGCGACAATAACGCTGGGTCGCTAGGACCAAAACTATGACTTTGAGTCTATAACTACAGATGATACTAAATACCAACACAAGAAGCTTGATTTAAGCTCGCTGATACTAAAGCAGCACAAATTGTCATGGCTACGTCACCCATGTCTTAGTCACGAGCTATATATCTCTCTCCTTCCGTCTCGAACTCTCGATATAGAAAAATGAATATTGTCTGAATAAATGCGACCCCCTGTAATTAGATCTCAAGAAATCTGTATAGCACAGATTCCCCGGGAACGTATTGTGGTTCTCATGTTTATTGGGATAGACTTCCAAGGGGTCGTACTATGCCTGAAGCATATCGGCAGACATCGTTTGTACTATATATACTCTCTCTCCAGAGTCCAGAATCCTCTTTCACTCTCACTCTCTCTCACGCACACATACGTGTACAAATACTCTCTCTCTCTCTCACGCACACATATGTGTACACATACTCTCTCTCACACACACACACACACACACACACACACGTATACAAACACGCACACACATGCGTGTACACACACACATATATATATATACACACACGCACACACATGCGTGTACACACACACACACTCTCTCTCTCTCTCTCTCTCTCTCACTCTCTCTTCCTTTCGCTCTTTCACTACTAGTAGTGTTGTAGTAAGTAGAGATATATTATAAAATCTAAACTCACATGGCCCTCTGGATTGAATCCTTCGAGCAGTATCATGTCTGCATGAAGGTGCAATATGTCCGCAGAGAAGGCCATGTCAGTCGTCAGATACCTACAAGGCCAGTGGGGCCACGACTCACGACTATGAGACTACGAGTCCATGACTCCACAACACACTGGCCACTGCGTACAGTACCCACTGTCCAGAAGTACAGTACCCACTGGCCACTGTCCAGTAGTACAGTACCCACTGGCGACAGTCCAGTAGTACAGTACCCACTGGCCACAGTCCAGTAGTACAGTACCCACTGGCCACAGTCCAGTAGTTCAGTTACAGTACCCACTTAAATATTGTCATCAGATTCAGTTTTTTTAGCTATACATACTTCAAAATTTCTTTTCCTATTTTTATTGTCGCTATACAGAGCGAGAGAGAGAGACTCAGACCAGAGTCAGAGAGAAGGTTGTGATCTTTTTTTATTGTTTTTGTTTTTTGTAAAACAAAATATAAACAAAATCTATATATAAAAAACTTGTGGAAACTGGTGAGGAATGTGGAACTTTATTTCTATATTACTGTGGCAAACTGGCAAGTGGCAACTGGCATTCATCAACAGATTTAAAACTATTTATATCTGCGAATGGATTCCGCTGTATCGGTAAAAGGAGACATCATAAATATCAGTGTAGAAATGCTTCAAAAGAATATTTGTATTTTTATATATTTTTTAATAGCCTCCGAGAGAGAAGGCTATTATCTCTGAATGCTGATCACAGACCACATTCAATCTAGACTATCTCTACCGAAGAGTTAATTGTAGTTCACCATGGCAGGCGAAGCTCCCCCACAAACGACTAGCACCTGGGTCGTAAACATATGGGCTAGCATTGTTGCTATTGGTATGACTGTCTCTGTGCTTGTTCCAATGCCTGAATAATCTATTGTCCAAAATACAAGCGGTCGAATGTATGAGTTACTGTAAATTGTCAAAATCACCAATTTTATGACCGATCTTTTTTTCACTTTAATCAAATTTTAATGCCCTTTCGCAGCTTGATCTCATCCGTATTCCTTCATCTCGTCACTTTCTCGCGTCATGTTTTTTTAGCCGTGTTCGTGATCGGTATAGTGGACGCGGTCTCAATCCACCTGTACTGCATCATCGTGGGCGCCTTGTTCATGTAAGTATCAGGAGTTGATATGATACTTGTGTGTACGGTCGTTTGTTAAGTATACGTATCATACGCTTATACTGCTATATCAGTCAATAAGTTGATAAAGTGACAAATGCAATATATTTTCACGAATAATTAGTGGTGTGAGTGCCAATTGGCCTACGTATAGTCGTATGTATGTGTACAAGTATCGTAGTACTTTATCAATTATTCCATTTTTTTCTTCAGGTGAGTTATAAATATTAATATAACTTAGAACCAGGTTAGTCTAAATTAGATCCCAATATATATATATATATATATATATATATATATTCGTATGTACGTATGTATATTGTTATGTACATGTATAATTATATATAATATATGTATATATTATTTATTATATATATATATACACATATATATTACAATATATTNATATATATATACTATA